TTTGCCAAACAACTATGGATAGTGTACTGATTGACAACGACTTTGTGATTACAGCTTCATTGTTATTGCATTGTTTGACTTGTAGTGAAGCATTACATAGTACTGAATATAAACGTAATTATAATGAATGAATTAGAATTATTTCCATCTACAAATTTTTAACTAACATATTACCAAGAGAATTAGTTCAGTCCATGTGTTGATAGTAAACATTCAAGTAAACTATATCGTTTGATATATTTCACTGTAAAAATTCTAAAAATCTCAAATGACCTAAGAATGATTTATCTTTTGTTAATCACTTATTATTGTTACAAGTCATAAAAAAAGTCTCCATTTATCTAGAAAAAACCCACTAAGTACTTAGTTTTTAAATCAATAAATCACAAGTTACTAAGATCACTAGGCATATTCTTATTAAAATATCGATAAATTATTTCTATGTTCCACAAAACAAGAATCTTTTGATAGTTCTTAATTAATCAATAATTGGAATTCTATTGTCTTGTTTTGAAAATGTTTGTTTGTTTATCAAAGTACCGTCTTTAACATATTTTTTAATAGAAAAATTGTATTTCAAAGGATTAATTTAATGGAACGTTTGTCCCCGTTCAAATGAACCCATTTCTTTCAGTAACAAATTAAATATTTTTGGTTTATAAACTTGAATTCCAGTTGAGATTACTTCAAAATTACACTCATATATAGATAATCATGCAAAGAGTCATAGCTTATCTACTTACTTAATTACTTACTTACGTCTGTTACTCCTCGTGTTGGTAGATGCAGACTACTTGGTTGGGGTCCGCGTGACTATCGTAACCAATGGTTGGAGACTCTTGGTGACATGGCTCAGAATCCATCACAATGGTGTCGGTGTATACACTCTCTGTCTTCCCTTAAACTAGGAGATTAAAATCACTTCATATCGTTCTTTCTACGAACTAATTCTTTCTTCGTGTACTATATCCTTATTGCAATCTTTCTTTTATATATTACCACATTTGAATTAACTACTTTTATGAATCCGGTGTCCATCTTGTTGTGTTAATGAGGTATGGCAACTTGAACCGATGCATATATGTGCCTGGTCCTATGTTGTCGCTGACTAACTGACTGACTCCTCGTGAACAAGCATAAGTCAGTCACCAGCATTCGCCATCTAACCCTATCCTGGGCAATCCATTTCAGCTCATTCCAGTCATTATTCATCCTTTCCATATCTACTTCTATTTCCCGACGTAATGTGTTCTTTGGCCTTCCACTTTTATGCTTCCCTTCAGGATTCGAAGCTAGGGCTTGCCTCGTGATGCAGTTTGATGATTTGCGTAATGTGTGTCCTATCCATTTCCATCGTCTTTTCCTGACTTCTTCTTCATCTGGAAGCTGGTTTGTTCTCTCCCAGAGAAGGCTGTTGTTGATAGTATCCGGCCAATGAATGTTGAGTATCTTGCATAGACAGCTATTTATAAATACTTGTACCTTCTTGGTGGTGATTGTTGTAGTTCTCCAAGTTTCAGCTCCGTACAGTAGAACTAACTTTGATAATGGTTGAAAGTTGTTTTGAGTTCCATATGTTGTTCAATTGTAGGAATGCTGTCCTTGCTTTGCCAATCCTCGCCTTTACGTCTGCATCTGATCCTCCTAGTTCATCGACGATGCTTCCCAGTTACGTGAAGGATCCTACATCTTCCAGAGTTTCGCCATCAAGTGTGATTGGGTTGGTGTTTTCCGTGTTGTATTTGAGGACCTTTGTTTTCCCCTTGTGTATGTTGAAGCCTACTGATGCAGAGACTGCTGCTACACCAACTGTCTTTGTCTGCATCTGTTCGTGTTATGCGATAGGAGGGCTAAAGAGTTATAGCTACAAACGTTTATTTTGTGTATATAATCTAAATGAACTATAATCTCTATGATACTTTAGGTTTTTGAGGTTCTTCGTAATTATGTTTTTAAATGTGCACTAGCGAAAACATAAGTACGTATTAAGTGCTCTATGTAACTTAATGGGTTTTCAACTGACGTTCATTCGTCGAGGAAATTATTCAGAAAATGTATATTATGATTTTATGTTAATCATTTACAGGTTTTGGATAAAGTCATAAGAAAATGAAATGATTGTCAACGTCAGTTAATTCACTGACTAAGATATTAAGCCAATTGAAAATTACAATTTGAAATATATCAGAAGTGAACAGTTACGACATCGTAAGGAATCTAGTTCTTAAATTTATAATCTTGATATGATTTAAGTACTTTTGAAATAATAAATAGGAAACTGATAGTTTTAACATTGTCTGTTGTTGATACAGGTCAAACGTCAACGGAAATCTTCACATGATCTTTATTTATATGGGAAGTGTTTTATGACTATTCAAAAAACAAAATATCATTTTAGAAAGTTTAACATACTATTGTTAAACAAATTGTTTATATCTCGCTAGCGGGATCGTGAATGTGTACTGCTGAAGAGGCCCACAATAGGACGAAACAACCGTCCGGTGCTTCCAGGTTTTCAATGCTGGTCTAACACCAATCAATTTGTGATCTTAATCAAAAACAGTTGATAGCGTTTTATTATATTTATAGTTGAGGAGTTTCTTTTATATTACAGGAATAGTTAGTTGTTATTATTTTATTGAAATGATAATTCTTGTGTGTGACCACTCTGGATAGCCTTTTCAAAGATTTTTAACCTAGTGAAATCATTTATAAATGTCGTAAATATATTTATCTTCAAAATGTTTGGAACTTCACAAAATATTCTACAAAAAGAAGGTTTTGAAATGAGTAAAGCATGTTATTATATAAGAAAAGCTTTATGTAAAATTGGCTAACTAGATCATGATATACCGTTTTCAAAGTGATAAAGATTTAAGATGAACAACTGAAAACCAGGAACAGTAGATAGAACCTCGTTACTAATTCCATAATGTTTATTAATATATTCACATAATATCATAAGTAACAGAACTATTGGATCATTGAAGTGTCACTCATCGGTTTATATATTTAACGCTAATTAATTTGTTACAGGTTGTACTGTCAATTTAAAAATAAATTCCTATAACACCTTAAATCAGACTGTAATTTCAACCTGATATGACAGAAAGAAATGTCAAAATTAGATTGATTTATTCATTATAATTTTTGTTCAACATTATTTCTGTTTTAATTCAATGCAGTGATTACTCAGTGTAGTACTTGTTTCTGTTACCCTGTATGACATTTTATTCTGTATAACGTACGATATACTATGCTCAGCATGACATGTAGCATATGATTTGTTATAACTGTAAGTATTTTTCATATATGTGATTTCATCCTAAATACTAATCCGTATATAAATGAGTGTATTTTAGACTAGGGTCGTCGTCGTTTTTTGGGGTTAACAAAATTTTGCTTGTATCAGCCTTTGTGTTCTTATTTTCGCACTGTAGGAATTGCAATGGTTCCTCGCTTTATAAGTATAAGTGATAAGCTATTCTGACATCATAATCAGTGACGATGAGATATAGCAATTGATGACACAGTCATAACAGTCGATCACCATTGATAACACAATTGATTCATATTTGTTTACATGTTACTGCTTTATTCTTATAGTCTCTAGCTAAAAAGTCTTGGCATATAAGTGACGAAGAGTGGAAATTGAAAAATATATTCATCAAATTAGATCTATTCAGCTACAAATAATTTCTGAAAGACTTTGGAATTAGTCAACTTTTAAGACATAAATTAAAAAGCAAGATATATAGTTAAAACAGCAAAATGGATATAATTTACCCATCAAATCTCATTAACAAACTCTATGATAGAAGTTGAAATCATGTTTTCAGATATTCATTCCAGAACTTATAACAACAAGGAAAAATACGATCTACCTGTAAAAATTCAATGCTATTTTAAGATATATTTTGATTTATTACTTGCATTACTAAGTATATATGGACTGAATATCCAATTTGGGGTTTACCTAGAACGGTATATATTGAGTAGTTTGAGTAATAATATTTATTTTGGATATATGCCAAATAAAACTAAACTACATATTTAAAGAAGTTTATAATAATAAACTCGAGTATTTATTAAAATCAGTTGATGTTTAAATTAAAATGTTTTGGATCTGTTAAGAGAGTACTGAATTCACATATTCAAACTTGTAAGTAAAATCGTCAATTCATTTAATGACTGTTTTTACAATTATTATTTTTTTTCTAGTTAGCGTCTTTTTTGGGCGAGTAGCCTAGTGGGACTAGAATAATAATACTAACGCAACGTTATGATGAAAACTTGTGGAGTTAATAATTACAACTTACTTATGCTCCATTGAGGGTCACAGGCGTAAGTAAGTTGTAATTATTAACTCCACAAGTTTTTATCATAAGGTTGCATTGGGATTATCATTCTAGTTTCACCAGGCTACTTATCAGTTAAAATGGATAGTGTAATATGATATCTGTTATATCTAGAGCTTAGATTCTTAATATACTGCGTAAAACTTGAGCACTTGAACTCTAGAACCCTTGCAATTCGCAAATCAGAAGATAAAAGACAAGTGAAAGGACTTCTATTTAAAACAGTGTAAATTATGGTACAAAACTGTCGGGTATTTATAGTTTTTAGTAAAAACGAAATCATCGTTATAGTCTTCCGATCCAAACACAGAGGGTTATTAGCATTTGTCTAATAGGGAAGCTACACGTAGGGATTCTGCAATATTCTTCTAAAAGATGATTGGATAGAATATCTTCGGTTCTTTCTGAGCTTCGTAGAGCTTCCTCGGGTTCACATGTGGGCCGTCCTCACAATATCAATAATTGAACATTATTAACTTGTAATGAGGTAATCATGAAGATCTGTTATAAATATATTTGTCCAGTTTAACAATTATACGTTTGACTGCTAGAAGGTAATTGAGGTTACGTCATACTGATTACTGAATGAATATTTCTATGAAACAAAATAAACGTCTTACACAATTTCCTTTTTCATAACAGGAAATGTATCTGTAAAACAGGTGATTGGTTTAATCATTATACTGAAACAAAAGAAACCAGTCCGTTGAAAATTGATTTAAGATTTGAACCACTTCAAAATAATCTACGTAAGACAAGTAAGTTTATGCAATGATTTGCCAGTGATAGCTTTTATTTTTATAGAAGAATCAGGGGAGAGTACAAAGGAAAAGAATATAAGTATATTATAAATAATTCATTAGTTCATCGCAGTTGAGTAAATAACTCGCATTGTATGCATTTGGTTAAAAGACAAAGTAATAAGAATATATTAAAGCTATTATTTTGAGATTAGGATCCGTTGATGAAGACGTTTTGTGAATTACAGTTCATGAAAAGAAGGTTTTTTGTAGAGTTTTGTCAACTATTTAGTTGAATAGACGTTAGATAATATTTGAAGACGAATTTCAAGTGATAAGTTTAGGAGCTATGAAGATGAAAGAATACTTGTTTTATCTTGTTGAATATATACCATTTGCTTTGTCAATGTATAACGTAATGATAACGCCAATTAGAGAACAGTGAATTATCGATCGGACCAATGCCGCACAAAACTCGTACGAGCAGTCTAGAAACTTTATCTGTGCTACTTCCTGCCTAACCCTTGGAGTTAAGTCCAAAACATCAATCTCAGCCTCTGCGATATGAATCATTTATTTCAAACACACTGAGTTTATATATAATCCAAACAGACCACATCGTACCATAAAATAGGAGACAACATTTGTGCAAGATTTAGCCAAATATGGCTGTGAATGTGGGAGATAGTAATTGATATACAGGGCATAACTCAGGAATGGTAAATCTTTTAATAATAGTCTATAGAACAAAACAAAGCTTATAATAAGAAGAACATGAATATGCATGGTTAAATTACTTAACAATTATGCAATAAAAGTACATGTATCGTATTAGTCCATGAATAGTTCTCAAAAGTTGCCATTCATAATATATAACAAGGTTCATGCCAAATTAAGTTATTGAAAATGAATTATTAAACGTTATAAGTGAATTCATTATAGGTAGTAGTTGTTACGATCAGATGTTCGAGAATCTATGAATATGTTGACCTTAAATGATGTCTATTAAATCATTGGAATAATAAAATAAATTGATCATATTTATTTCATTTTTGTACGCTTTTAATTTTTCACGTTGCTAATGTTAAGGTTTGCAACTGATCAATCTATTTTAGCATATATGCATCCTGAGTAGATTGGATTAATATTACTTACTTACTTACTTACTTACGCCTGTTACTCCCAATGGAGCATAGGCCGCTGACCAGCATTCTCCAACCCACTCTATCCTGGGCCTTCTTTTCTAGCTCCATCCAATTCTTGTTCATTCTTCTCATGTCTGTCTCCATTTCTCGGCGTAATGTGTTCTTTGGTCTTCCTCTTTTCCTTTGACCTTCAGGATTCCATGTGAGGGCTTGTCTTATGACGCAGTTGGGTGCTTTCCTCAATGTGTGTCCTATCCACTTCCAGCGCTTCTTCCTGATTTCTTCCTCCACTGGGATCTGGTTTGTTCTCTCCCACAGTACGTTGTTGCTAATAGTGTCCGGCCTGTTTTGCGTAGACAATTGTTAATAAACACCTGTATTTTCTGCCCCATACAGTAGAACTGTCTTGACATTTGTATTGAAAATCCTGACCTTTGTGTTGGTTGACAGTTGCTTTGAGTTCCAGATGTTCTTCAGTTGTAAATATGCTGCTCTTGCTTTGCCGATCCGCGCCTTTACATCTGCATCGGATCCACCCTGTTCATCAATGATGCTGCCCAAATATGTAAAGGTTTTTACATCTTCCAAATCTTCTCCGTCAATTGTGATTGGATTGGTGCATTCTGTGTTGCATCGGAGAACCCTGCTTTTCCCTTTGTGTATATTGAGACCTACTGCTGCTGAGGCTGTTGCCACACTGGTCGTCTTCTCATGCATTTGTTGTTGCGTTTGGGATAGAAGGGCCAGATCATCTGCGAAGTCTAGATCATCCAACTGCATCTTAGATGTCCATTGTATCCCGTGTTTCCCTTCAGATGTTGACATCTTCATGATCCAGTCGATCACCAGGAGAAAGAGAAAGGGTGAGAGTAAGCAACATTGCCTGACACCGGTCTTCACTTCGAACGACTTTGTCAACTGTCCTCCATGCACGATTTTGCAGTTTAATCCATCATATGAGTTCTGTATGATATTGACTATCTTCTGAGGCACGCCGTAGTGTCGAAGAAGTTTCCATAGTGTTGTTCTGTCCACGCTGTCAAATGCCTTTTCGTAGTCAATGAAGTTGATGTAGAGTGATGAATTCCATTCAATTGATTGTTCCACAATGATCTGTGGATTTACGATTCGGTCTGTACACGATCTATCCTTACGGAATCCTGCCTGTTGGTCACGAAGTTGGGCGTCTACGCAGTCCTTCATCCTGTTTAACAATACCCTGTTGAAGACTTTTCCCGGTATTGAGAGAAGAGTGATGCCCCTGTAGTTATCACACTTACTGAGATCGCCTTTCTTCGGTATTTTGATCAGAAGTCCTTCTTTCCAGTCTGTTGGTACTTGTTCCTCATCCCAAATCTTATTGAAGAGAATGTGGAGTATCCTTGCAGTTGCCGCTACGTCTGCTCTTAGTGCCTCTGCTGGAATGTTGTCTGATCCTGCTGCTTTGCCACTCTCGATTTTTCTGATGGCCATGCTTACCTCTTCAATTGTTGGTGGGCCAACATTGATTGGGAGGTCCGTGGGTGCTGCTTCGATGTTGGGTGGGTTCAGTGGAGCTGGTCGATTCAAGAGTTCTTTGAAGTGTTCTACCCACCTGTTTTGTTGCTCTTCAATGTTGGTGACTACCTTGCCTTCCTTGCTTTTCACTGGTCGCTCCGGTTTGCGGCGATTTCCAGAGAGTTTCTTTGTCGTGTCATACAATCGTCTCATGTTTCCTTCTCTTGCAGCCTTTTCCGCCGTCGTTGCTATATCTTCCACATATTTACGTTTGTCGGCTCTGATGCTCCTCTTCACTTGTTTGTTACCTTCTGTGTATTCAGCTTGTGCCTTGGCTTTTTCTGCTCTTGTTCGACTGGCATTGATTACTGCCTTCTTGTTCCTCCTTTCTTGAATCTTATCCAGTGTATCAACAGTGATCCATTCCTTGTGATGGTGCTTCTTGTGACTCAGCACCTCATGACATATTGAAGTGATTGCCTCTTTGATCCCCTTCCAGTTGCTCTCCACATTAGTTCCTTCTCCATTGAGTAGATCATGAAAGGCCTGGAACTTGTTGCTGAGGACTATCTTGAATTTGTTGAGTTTGTCAGTATCCTGGAGAAAGGCCGTATTGAACTTTTGTGATATTGTCCGCCCCGTTGTCCAGTGCTTCTTGAGTTTTGATTTCATCTTGGCGACCAGTAAGTGATGATCTGATGCTATATCAGCTCCGCTCTTGGTTCTCACGTCCTCTATAGTCCTCCTGAACGTTTTGTTGATGAAATATGGTCGATTTGGTTTTGTGTGGAGTGATCCGGTGAAGTCCATGTGGTTTTGTGTATGCGTTTATGTGGGAATATGGTGCCGCCTATGACCGGCTTATTGAAGGCACATAGATTTGGAAAATCTCTCACCATTTTCGTTTCCTTCTCCCAGTCCGTGTCGTCCCATGATGTCTTCATATCCAGTGTTGTCCGTTCCAACCTTGGCGTTGAAATCGCCCATCAGAATGGTCAGGTCCTTTGTTGGGCACTTCTCGACTATTGACTGCAGCCTATTGTAGAATTGATCTTTAGCGTCTTCATTGTAGTCGTTGGTAGGCGCATAGCATTGGATGGCGTTCATTGAAATGCCCTCTTTTTTTGTTTTGAAGGGGGCTTTGATTATCCTTGGTCCATGAGATTCCCATCCTATAAGCGCATTTTGCGCTTGTTTGGACAGCATCAATGCAACTCCCTGTGTATGTGGTGCATTTTCTTCTTCATAGTCGGAGTATAACAGGAGCTCTCCTGTAGTTAGTCGTTGTTGTCCAACTTGTGTCCAATGTGTTTCACTGATCCCAAGTACCTCTAGGTTGTATCTTTTCATTTCTGCAGCAATCTGGAAGGCTCTTCCGGTGTCCCACATTGTACGAACATTCCATGTACCTAAATAAATGATCGCTCTGGTTGTCAGAAGGAGCATCGGCCTCGTATCTTCCGATAGAATTCGGCTTTCACCATGAGGCATCATAACTCTTCTAAATGAAGACCTTCTGACTCCCAGGGCAGAGCTTCAAATGTTTGAATAATTTTTTCTGGTTAGCGTTTTTTTAGCGATTTGGTTTTCTACGAGATGGGGTCTCTAACCCCATGCCCAACCCTCCTCCTTTATCCGGGCTTGCGACCGGCAGTAGCCCTCGGAGGGACTCCAGGCGGAGTTAGATTGGATTAATATTGCTAGTAAATATCCAACTTTGCATAAAAGTGCTTGTAACTTAGTGGAAATACCGAAGTGATGTTCTCAGTAAGCATTTATAAGTACATAAATAAGAGTGATCAACTTCAGTCCTCAACATTAACAACTGGAAGATTTAAATACTTAAAAGTGGAATACTACTTTTCCCTGTCAGACAAGCTGATGTCTGCCTGAACTCAATAGTTAAATGGATAGCTGAAGTTTGAAGCAAAATTTATTGGGTTCGATTAGTATAGTGAACATCACTACTGAAAAGCATGTACATCCAACAGATTAGTTCAAAATTGGACAAAATATGTATCCTGGATCCCACTGTTAACTATGATTCAACTTTGTATCAAAATTAACTATAATAATTTCTTAAAAAGAAATGAAATAAAATTTCTTTCATGAATGTAAACTACAGTGTGATTCATTTCTGAAAAAGAAATATAAATCAATAAATTATTCTCGGAGTTCTGGTGAGAAGCCGTGACCAGTGGAGTTAATCCGTGTCGGGAAGAAACAGGTGTCTGCCTCAGTACAATGGAAGATGGTGGCGCGATTTCGTGGATTGGTTGAGGTCGGACATTAACACCATTGGATGCCGGCTCAGTGATCTAGTTGGTTAAGCGCCTGGCACCAGGATGATAGGTCCTGGGTTCGAATCTCGCGGGGTGTGGGATCGTGGATGCGCACTGCTAAGGAGTCTCATACTGAGACGAAACGGCCGTCCAGTGCTTCGCAGTTCTCCGTGGTGTTCTAGCTTCAGTTGTCTCATGATTTCAACCAAAAAACTTAACAATCTCCACAACAGTGAAACTGAAAATTTTTGTAATAGAAATAATTTTTTGATTAGGTTACTAACCATATTTATCTGTGTAAATGTATATTTTAGAAAGTGAAGTGATTTCAAAACTGAATAATTCATCAAAAAATATTGCTGTGAGTTCTATACATAAACTAATTATTTTATTCATGTAAATACGGCGAGAGTATAATTTATGAATGACCTTTGAACGAGTCCCAAGTGACCTTGAGAAGTATTAGTCAATCAGAAAAGTGTAAAAATATTTTATACAAAATCATAAAATTAAAGTGGATACACTTCTTTTACATGGTTTGAAAACTTGTCAAGGGTAAAAGGAGGTTCAGATGTTCTAAAATCATAATGTATACAGTAGAGGAAACCATCTGTATGGCTCCGTAAAAATCGGCCTCTGGAGCCATGATAAGGTTGCTAAAGCTTTTTCAGCCTCGACTACATAGCTCCGGTTGTTGAGTCCACAAAATGCCGCTTGTGAATAACGACACGATGCACATAACCAAGTCTATGTAGTCATCTGTACGCTCTTTAATCATCCGCATATATTGAAGTACCCAGCACCAGCCAATGTTACTGTTGCTTTTATTATTCAATTCGAAACAATTATCATGATTTGGCTTAGTCTCAATCTGTAGTCTGCACAAGGTTCACAAGCCATTTGATTACCACAATCACAAATAAAGATACTTCTTAAAAGTCCCATACGTTGTAGCCGCTCAATTATCACGTTTTCTCCAAACTCCGCTGTGAACCGATCGTACGTGAGCATCAGATATTGAAATTGGCACCGTGACCTAGAAACCTCTTGGACGCTTCTGATTGGCTCCTTCATAACTAATAGTCTCACCTCTACACATTCTTGAAATAGTTATCAGTAACTATCGCGAAAGATATTTTATAATCTAAATATAACTGAATCAAAAACAGACTTAGTCTCTAATCAGCACAAAATCTGTATGAATAAAAGTCTGACGGAAAAAATTGTAAAAAAAAAAGATTATAACATTTTAAAATGTATTCACAGTGATGTTATAGTTAGTTATTAGGATAGCTAAAGACATTTCTGACAGTAAGATGTTAGTTATAGTTCCACATGTATTTAACTGGATGCAAATAAATTTTAACTATGATAGCTAATGCCATCCTATACGTGTACGTTAAACGAATGGAGCTCAATGAATATCCTTAGTTAGATTTTCGGCAAAAGTTACAAATAGCTTATGAAAACATGTATGAATCATAGGTTGGAAGCTTTTAATGAGTGGTCTGAAATATTCCATATGATGTTAGATTGTCAAAAGATTCCTAATGATGTCAGAGAAATATAACTTTAGGCTTTTTTTCAATGTCTGAAAGTATAGTGGGGTACAGGTATGAACATTCAAAACATTGTGAAAAAGCTAATTGGATCTACGTATTTATACTACATGTGTGTATACATGCGAACTTGTATTAAGCATTTTAATAATAAGATCATGTCAATGAATAGAACTGTACTAGTTGCTTTGTAATTAGATATTCGATATTCGTGGTTAAAGGTTTAGACATATGAAAACAATATATAAATATTCACCTAGCACTCTGAATATACATTTTCTAAAAATCCAACGTCGCCACAAAAATCTTCTTAATTTTTACAATTAATAACATTAATCAACATGTAGTTGTCTCTAAACTGTAGACAATGTATACTGAATTTCAAGTGTATCGAGTTAAATTAATCAGTAATATGATTCCAATAGTAGTTTCGAAATTAATGAAGAATATAACTTCCATTTTCACTATCTCAGACATTAGGTGCATTTTTATTTTTTTTGTAGAACTCACTTTCTAAACCAAGTAAGTTACATTTTTTGATAGAATTTCCATTTATAAACATTTTTTAATAGTTCACTCTTACTAATCAATATTTAATCTCATATAAAAATTAGGATCTCATTAAATTTACCCGGTATTGTTTACTTGAATCTTCTTATCAATGTTCAGGACTGCAATTGACCAATCTCTTATTGACGTATGTGCATACTGTGCGTATTGCCACGATGTTGCCTTAATTCACATGCATTATAAGCAAAGATGGATAGTGGCTAGCAGTGGAATCCAGAACTCGCGTTTCGTCGTATTTAGGACTCTTCAGCTGGGTGCTAAGTTGATAACCCGATGATGTTTGAAGCAAACGGTACTGGGTTCAAGTCACAGAGTGAACATCAACTCTGAGATGCAGGTACATCCAGCTGACTAGTCCCGAATAGGACGAAAATCGCGTTCTAGATTCTAATGCTAGCCACTATCCATCTTAGGATGTTGTTATTTCTAAAAATATATAGTTTATCCAAATATATGTATGTTAAAATCCGTACAACAAATGAAATTGTTAATATCACCTCTCTATATTATGTGGATTGATTTTAGAATACATAAGAACGTATTGTTCACTATAGATAAAATAAACTATTGAATAACCAGTCTATCCAAAGTATCCTCTAAACAATAAATTTCGTTAGCACTGGAATAATTATCCATAGAACTATATAGAATATAAATGTACAAAATTTAGAGAAATAATGTATTAATTGTGAATAGGTGTTAGAAAATAATTGAATAAAACGGTCAAATCATTTGTGCTGTTTTTAACTCTCCCATGATTGAGTGTCATTCAGCTAATTGACTTATAAATCTCGGTTGGAATTTCAATTAATGTTGCTAATAGAAAAAAATATAAATAACGGTTTGATGTTGTTAGGTTTAGGGTTTCCTGTTGACTACCTCTAAACACCATCTTATCTTAACATAGTGCACTCAATGTCGAGTCACCTAGACTGGTGGCCACATTGAAACTTGGTCGATAGGATTCAATCTACATTAAGAAATACCTGATATACATGACAATGATCACCACCCAGTGATCAATCAATTGTATATCATTATCGTACACATAATTTCAATTGACATAGAACTATCAACTGCTAAAAACATTAACATAAATTTGTATTGACCTAACCAGTTTCAAAATATAAAAGCGATATAAGCTTTGTATTATGTAGTAACTTACATTCAAAGTCTTATAACATAGATGGAGGTAATAATGAAATGTCTAATTTAGATAATGACACTTCAATTGAAACTGAACAATTCAGTGGTGAAAATTGAAAATAGGGATTAAGGAAACTTTTATCGACATATTTATGACTGTTAATTATTATTATTATTATTATTATTATTATTATTATTATTATTATTATTATTATTATTATGTCAATTGAATTACTCTCAGAAAGTTAATATCTTCATTATGTACTCTACATATTATGATAAGAAAAAAGTAAATGATGTAGACATAGTTAACAATAAAATAGATTTACTTTTCATTCATTTCCAGTTCTTATTCGAATTTTCGTTCATGTATATTCACATTAATAAAAAGAATAATAGCTTTATAATAGACAATGATCTCTGTTTAGTTGGCTCTGTTTTCATGTGTAATGAATATAATAGGTTTATTATTCACTGATTGGTCACAGTTGTCAAACGAAAACTTAATAACTATGTACAACATTGAAATTAAAATCATTATTACTACATTGCAATATCCATGTAATCACTAACTAACTTGTTCATTAGAAGTTCACTATCACTTGAAATAATTTAGATTTAAGCTTTAAACACATTTGTGTATTATGCTTAGTTCTAAATGATTAGGTGAAACTAAGTTATGAAACAATATTCAAATTGTATTTAATCTGTAGCTTGTAATCAGTTAAGAAATCGATTCAGGAATCATTATCAAAAATTTATTGATGAAAGCTTATTCTACATTTTGATATGGTCATTAGTTTTCTGATTATTTTATTAAGCAATACACATGTACTTTAATCACTGACCATTTATTTTTCAGGTGATGAGAATGAGAAGAGCTCATTGAATCAAATGGTGAGTTTTCTGTTTTCTGTGGATACTTCATAATATAAACTATGTGACTAAAAAATCATTTTAGACTTCAAAAGAATTGATTTCGTGATGATGATTAGTGAACATTTTAAAAGGTTAAAATGCTAAAATTAAAAAAAAGTTTTTGTGTTGCTGAGGAGTAGATCCACTTGACTATTAAAACACAAACACTTTCGTAAACTCTTAAATTTCGAACTTTAATTTTTCATATACTTCTTTAATTATTGTTGTATACATTAGGGTTGATAATGTTTAGCTAGATAATATAAAATATATCGAACAACTAAGAAACTTCATCTGTGAATCTCTTGAGTATTATCACTATATCCTTAGAAATCATAGTTTTATTTGCAGGATTTAATATTTGAAGAATAAAATGCTTGTGATACAATCCTTTATTGTTTGATTTTCGAATTGCAACTTGATAGAACTATTATATCATCTAAGTAAGATTGCAAAGTCCAATAGAACGAGGAGCAGGACTTTATGGTTCGTGGTCCTGGTGTTGGATATGCTAGATTCCCAGAAATCACTTGGTAAACGTCATATTTTTATAATTTTATTTTGGAAATTTAAATTTCTCATTCTTGCTTCAAAAGCGCCCATTTTCACTGTTCCCTCTCTTAATACGCTATTTTGTGACGTTTCGCAAGGACATTTTTATGCTGTATATGTACGTTTGAGTTATGTGCTTGTTGTTGTTCGTGCTTCTGGGCTGCTTGTGGAATATACTTTCCCACTTGTTAACCAGGTCTTCTCTCTATAGTTAGCGCTGCTAGGACGCATCAGAATAGTTGGGCTTGTCTTGTCATTGTGACGCCTATGCTTTGTTTAGTTCGCCGATTTTAGGTGATCTCTTAATCTCCCCGAACGTAGCACCTGGAATATATCTATCAGCAACCTTGTAGTGTAGTTTACTTATACTCACTAAATGTTTTTTTTAACTTGTTCATCAAGTCTTTTTTACGTCTGTTATTTGATTTAAACTTGTTAAAGAAAATAGATCTTACCTGAAAGAAATCAATAAATGAATTCATGTTATTTATTAAACGATAACAAATAACCCATTGAATATTTCTAGTCAAATATTCATTTCATCAAAACGGTTATAAGTAGTGTTAAGCAAGAAATTTAGTATAATCTTTATGTTTTAATCTTCATTATTACACCAAGAAAGTATTCAATAACAGTTATGTTTCTATTAATTTTGATTTGCACTTTTAACCAAATAACTAACACGTAAAAATGCCGGAATAAGGACACGAGATATGTTGAGAATACGATGATATTATTTATAACAATGTTAGCAATACATTAACAAACCTCAAATCGTGAGACATTTAAGGCATTTACAGTGTCAATGTACAGTTGAATAAAAAATGTCTTCTGAAATAGTTATATAAGAATCATGTTTAAAATATATGAAAAACTAGTTATGTAACAGCCAGTTACTGTATGAACACAATTCCAGCTGCAACACTCAACTTTTGGTAGGTTTTCATTTAGTCGAAATGTAGGTTATGTGTTAGTTTGAAGGTCAGAGAGTCTGTGAGAATTCGGAAGAGAGATGAATAGGTGAAAAAGTAATTCAATCTACCAGTTAACGCATCAGATGCAATTTTGTCTGATGATGAGGACAATCGATAACACTGGGCAAGAACATATAATCAAGATTAAGAAAATCTATAATCGAAACTACAAATTGACACCTTAAGATTTTGAGTGTATTACACATTCGACAATCGAAACAACAAATGCAGACGAAAAATATAAAAACTGATAAATGGGAAAAAATCTTAAATCTAAGAAACTGTCAAAAATGTTAGAAAGAGATCATTATAGCGACAGGTGGACTGAATGTCACGATTTCATGCAAATGTCTCGTCAATCTGTGCCTTCATATCTGAGTCAGATCCTCCTTGTTTATCGACGATTCTGTCCAGGTACTTGAAAGTTTCCAACTCTTCCAAAGTTTCTGTATCAAGTGTGACTGGGTTGGTGCTCTCTGTGTTGTATTTCAAGATCTTGCATTTCATTTGTGTATGTTGAGGCCCGCTGATGCAGAGATTGCTAGTTCACTGGCTGAGTCTCCTAAATTTGTTGCTGTGTATAAGATATAAGAGCTAGGTCATCTGTGAAGTCCAAATCGTCTAATTGATTCCTAGCTGTCCATTGTATTTGGTGTTTTATTTGAACTGTGGAGGTCTTCATAATCCAGTTGGCCACCAGAAGAGAGAGAAAGAGGGAGATTAAGCAGCTTTGTCCCACTCCACTTCTCACTTGGAATGTATCTGTCAGCTGTACTCCATGCACCACTTGGTACTGTAGTTCGTCGTATTAGTTACGCATGATGATGGCGATCGTCTCAGCTACTCACTTCATAGTGTTGAAGAAGGTTCCATCAGGTCCTCCTATCCACATTGTCAAATGATTTCTCATAGTCAATCAAGTTGATGAATAGTGACGAGTCGCATTCAGTTGATTGCTCTACAATGACCCGTGATGTCCCTATTTGGTCTGTGTCTGTGACCAATCTTTACGAGATTCGATATGTTAATTTCGAAGCTGGACGTCTACTGAATCTTTCATCCAGTTCAGCAACATCCCATCAAGATGATCAGATCCTTTTCTGACCAATTCACTATGATCGATTACAGCTTCTCATAAAATTTATCTTTGCCGTCATCATTGCTATCATTGATGGGTGCACAACACTGAATAACATTTATTATGATTACTTCCTTCTCTGTTTTAAAGGATGCTTTGATGATTCGGAATCCATGAGACTCTCATCCTATTATTGCTTTACGTGCTTCTTTGAACGTCATCAGAGCAACCCTCCAAGTGTTTTGAGGATTTTCTTCTTCATGAACAGAATACAATAACATCTCTCGCGAATCTAATCTTTGCAGTCTCCGTTGGATTTACTTGGTTTCACTTGTTCCGAGAACCGTCAAGTTATGTGTCCTCATTTCGCAGCTATTTGAATGGTCCTCCCAGTTCCCCACATTGTCCGGACACTCTATGTACATAAATTAATTGTTGTTCTGGTCGTTAGAAAGGGAATCGACCTCGTAACTTGCGAGGAATCCCGGCCTTTACTTTGTGGCGTTATAAGTAGTCTGAGTGAATATCCTCCAACTCGGAGAGCAGAGTTTAAATTGTTTATTCTGGTCAGCGTTTTTTAGCAAGATTGTTTCTTACGGGATGATATGATCATCTTCTATTCGATTTTCTTAATAACTATCAAAAATTAAAACACTAGTAGTAGTTCCAATTATTAAATAGATACTACTACTTCACTACTACAACTGCACTACTACCACTACAGTAGTGTGTGCTACTGATGTCGACAGATATAAGTAGTATGTATTATCAATAGAAATCGGAATGTTTGGCGGCAGAAGGTCGAGAAAATTGAAGCGGAGTGAACGAGAACAGAGAATAAGTGCTATGGAAACGAAAGAACAACAAAGTTCGGGACAACTGATGGATATTTTGCAAACGAAGCATTTACTGTAAGATTCTGAGATTTTACCAAGATATTCCGTAATGTAATGTAGCGATTCATTTGGTTGTTTTTATTGTGTGTTCTCGTTCACTACATTACTACTATAATTATTGTTACTATTACTACACAGTACACATTTAAGACAGATCTCGTAAATTTTACCTTTTCATATAATATTTATGGTTTTTTATTTGAAATAAATAATAATCAGTTAATAGAAGAAACTCATCCAGTTAAAAGTAAAGAAAAATCGAGATCTAAGTCACCATAAACTTCAAAAACTCAAAACTCGTGGGTGTATTTAAAATCTGGCTCTCAAAGTACAATGGATAAAAAATTATCTGGATTCTTAGAACAATCAACACTTTCTCGTTCTCAGTCGTGTGATTATTTGGGTAAAATAAATGACTCGTCTGAAGATCATGAAGAGTTCAAAAAGAAATCTGGAAGACGAAGACGCCTATTACGACTAAAAAGACTATTGAAGAAGGTGAGTAGATCACTATTTAACACATAATAATTCGATATTTCATAATTTCCGAGAAAAACTTAAAATTTCGTTTTTCAATGCTTCAGTCATACATGTGAAACTGGTGTATTCCTACCTGTTTTTCGGTAACCTGTAACTCCACAATTTTAGCATGCGTATTTATACGTAATCATAAAATACGTAATCCGCCTTAAAGAAGACTACATAAGGACAATTTGATGGATTTAGTTATACGTTATTGCAATCATCTGATAAAAGTCATACTAGCTTTGTTTTCGCAGATAATATATGAAAAGTTCGTCACATCGAAAGAGAGAATGAATCGGAGAAGAATAAGACATGGTATCTCTTGAAGTATGCTGGTTTTATGGAAAACAAAACAAAACTGAGAAAGCTACAAATCTCATGTTTTCAGCTGTTACGGTATTTAATAACACTGTTAAAAGTTTTAACTAGAGGAAAATGTATCCTTCATGTAAATGTCCAAGAAATTAGTGGCATTACTTATCACAAGTCCGTAAGGAAAATATGTTACGATGTCAAGCTACAAAATCAGCAATTAACGGTGTTAGGTGAGAGAGTTATGGAGTTCAGATTTCGAGGAAGTAGCATTATGACTATAATGGCTATAAATGTGCACTTTGGTGGAGTCCCATACTATTTCTAGCGCCTTCCGGTTCTCACTGATTACCTAACTACGATCAAACGGTGATGTAAATCTGAAAAAAACAGACTTAGTTTGTTTCGGTCGTTATATTTGAAAAGGCATACAAATTATTTACATCAGTTCAAACTACTAATCGTAACAAAGTAGTATGGTGGCTATTAGTGATGTGTTAGATTAGTAGCGAACAGATTTTACGTATAGTACAAAATACAAGTATTTTTCATTATCTATGAATAAGTTGTGAAGCTAAAACGTTAAAACTATCAAATCATTAATTTTGATCACCTGCTGAATGTTTCTACTCATACTAGTAAGTAGTTACTCAACTTTGTGGTGCAGTGGATCTGATATAAGATGAAAAACTAAAATCTGCATGAAGCTTCAAAACTCATGTTCGAATCTCCGGAAAGCTAAAATCTTCCTCAGACTCACAAGTCATTTTCACATAAATTTCTTATTGGGTAAACTCTAAGAACTGGGGTTTTACATGTAGAGCATTTAACTACCCAACAACAAATGAATAATAGCGTTACAGTTTTTATTTCATTAGATTTCACTACCTACACTGACTAGTGACTATGTAGATGATTGGAATTTATGTTTATTCCATTCGTTGAGGTCGGTACGTGGAGGGAAAACTTTATATTCGACGGTTTTCTGTTATCTCGAAGTCAATGCAAATTAATATGAGGACTTGGGAGTAGATAATGATACCGCTAAATAATGATCCCAACATAAAATATTATTTAGTGCTAAATCTTTAAGTGTTTAATATAACACATTACATATTTGACAGTCTAAAATATATGATAATAATACAGTAAAACTGATTTATACTTTTAGGGATTTAATTGAGCAAGATAATCAAACCACATGGATTATTTCGCTCAAGAATTCGGCTTGCAAAGACCATTGACACAATGTTATGTAATACAGTTTAGCAAAAAGATTTGACATTAAATCAACAGAAATGAGTAATTACTTAATCTGTCTATATACTAACAGTCACTATTCACTCTTCGTGATAAATCTTCCAATGAAACGCTAGATTCGGTTCCTAAGCTCTTCTAGTAACCCCCAGGCTAGATCTATACATCAACTTTAACACGAGAGGAAAGGCGCGAGATATGGAAAGAACACTTTACTCCAAAGGTTTACTTATGTACAGAAAGTCTAGGGTATTTATAGTATTCTAGATGGCTTTGGGTTTCTGGAAAATTCTGGAATGTTATTGAACATAGTAGCATGCAACCAGAAACTCGACATGTGACTTTTCACCTTCTAGATGTTTCTGGCAAAACTTCTAATGAATGCTGATTGGATAAGATGCTTCATAGTGTTTTTGAGCCTTCTTGACTTCTTTTCGAGGACTTTTCTGGATCTCCCTAACAATTTGTTTAGTCTGTTCTATCACTTAAAACAATAACTGTTTTAACATAATTATAAGATTTATTTGTAAACACTATATAAGTTGTATTTATGTAACTATATTGTGAATGAATACAAAAATGACATGACTGTATTAGACTTTTAAGTTTCCTCTATACGATTTATAAAATGAACCACAATTTTTATCGGCTTGTTTAAACTGACTACATATGATCAAACTGAAATCATATTTTTTGACATTCGGCTACGTTTTTTCTGTGTCTAAAGCAACGTTAACACAACACAGTGGATATTTATCGTTCACAACTGTTGAATAGTTTAAAATTCCATATTTTATGTTTGTTCTATTCTCAATTATCGATAAGCTGTTTTTATACTTTGTTTATACACTTACTACCACACATTTTGTCTCCACGTTTTTTTAAATAATTATTATTATTGAGAAATAAGATCATCTGATAACTTTTGGCAGCTGATTACCTGCTGATCATTCTATAGATCTCCATGTGATTTGTAGTTTACGGAGAGTTAATAACAAAATTAGACAGAAGAATAATTTCCATTTATTGAGTATCACGTTTTGTTTTTGTTTTGAAATTATTGCGTGAAATCATTATGAATACATTACTGTCGTTTGGTTATTAGAATCAACTACTATTTACAAAAATGTCCGTACAAAATCAGATTAATAAAACAATAGAATTTATACATGTTAAAGTTAGACAAGCAGATTAGTTAATGTATTTCATTGTTAACTATAAAATGTTTAGATTTTGCATATTATAGTTGAAAGCAATATGCTAATACTACAGTTTTTTGTTAAACTACTTACCTTCTGAACAATTTGTGAGTTTTTCAATTGACATACTGAATGAATATAAATATAAGAATCATTTGAACTTATCATTTAGATACATCGGGAACCTGAGTCACTTTTCAAATGAACTTGTTAGTTTACATTGTAGTTAAGTCTCATTTTATGATGAAACATTTCTCAAGTTCAATTTTATTTCTAATGGAATCCAACATTAGACGATCGTAAAACGTCATTTAAAGCAAATCTAGTTTTTAGTACAATGGGTTTGTAAACAAACTTTAAATGTACACCGTTAAAATATTCCACAATTACTTAACCTCTATAACTTGATTTTATTTAAGTATATATAATAGATCAGAAAATAAGTCATTCATTGAAGGAATCCTTTTAAAAAATGTCGTTTAATAAAAAAGCCGTAACAAAATAAGTGTACTACAGATTATAGTTAATAATTTTGATCTATCATACACATAGTTCCCTTTATCATTTTGAAAAGAGTAAGAACAAAGATTCTAGCAGAATAGCTTGAATTCATTTTATTTCATAATGAATGAATTCATGCTATTCTGCTAGCATCTTTATTCTTGCTCTTTTCAAAATTTTGATGTAGTTTTGTTCTCTGAGTTAGATGGTTTGGTCATGGAGCTTTCATCGTTCTTCTGAACGACATCATCAGCACAAACTTCAGATAGAAGTGAAGTGTTCGAATTTCTTCGCATGTGATTAACAGCTTCTCCTGTTGAGTTAAATGTTGATTGATGAACCGCATGTAGAGAATTTCGAACACTTCACTTCTACCTGGAATTTATGCCGACGATGTCATTCAGAATAACGATGAAAGCTCCACAACCAAACCACCCAGCTCAGAGAACAAAACTCTGTCAAAATCATCCACCTGAGCTACAAATCTTCTCCACCATCTCGTAGTTAATAATTCTAAGTAGTATTGTATATTTAGCAAATAAATGGGATTTTTATTTTATGATACTGAATGTAACCATGTTTTTTACTTCAATAATTAATGTTTAATCAGTTTTGTAATTCGATAGCATTACAGAACTTCATATCACTAATTTGAATGTAAACATTTTAGATCCATAGTGAATTTGTCATGAAATAGTAATGCAAAATATTACATACATTTTCATTTCATTTTCTCACTTTTTGATGTCTAGAGTAAATCATTCAAATCAAATCACTATAAAGCTTATAATGAAATGGATGAATTTATTCATGGTGAAATTGATGTATCAATGGAATATAATGCTCAAGATCAACAACTTGGAGTTAGTTTATGGGCTGCTAATAATTTAGCACATGAAAAATATATAATCGGCTTACCGTAAGATTTTGTATAACATTCTATTTGAGTAACTTATCTTCTTTAATAATCTAAAATGAGTTGATTTTTAACCATATATATTTAGTTATTTGCTCCATATTTTAAGTGGTCACTCATAGTGAATAGAATGTTGTTTGTAAAAGCAAATGAAGGGAGTTTTATTTAAATAATAATCAGACTGTAGTTTGTTGACTATAGTTATATGTATTTTATGCTAACAAAATCATAGTATCTTACTGTACGATTGTAACAACTGAAAATGTTTAAGACGTGGATAACCATATTGCAATTTCCCAGTTGCTAAAGTTACAATGAATATTCAAGAAAGTAGTCAAGCTATTTGAATATTTATTTAAATAATTTCTCTGTAATTTAACTTGTTTTATAGGTGAATTATTTACTGTTAGTCCTATATAAGAAATATTTAAGCCTTTGTGATAATCGGAAGTATTTGAGTTTTAGTATGAACTAAGAATCCCAGAAATAATGTAATAGGATCAAGAAGTACTAGATAACCACAAACGAATGTACTGTATTTAGAATTTGAAATCAAGCATTCAACAAGTACAAAGATATCATTAGTTCATTCAAACACCACAGCCTTTTTAACTTAAAAATGTTGAGGCTTCATGTAGCAACTTTTTGCTTACATTTCTATAGGAAACTCAATGTCATATCTTCATGGAATGTAGTTGAATGATTGTCGATTTGGTTTGAAAGCAAGTAAAACAGTCTAATCAATGTATAAATATGTATTATCTTCTGATTTTAACAGTTATAGAGTGATCAATACAAAATACTAGGACATTAAGGTCATTATTATCTAGAGAATTTGTTGCCAGTATTTGATTCACATCAACATTTTCAAAATTGATGATAATTAGATTGTACGTTTTTTCGTTATTTCAATGTAAAAAAGGTTAAACTGTGTAAAGCTTATGATATAACAGCTACCATGAAGTGATTCGAGTTTTTTTCTTATTGCTTATATACGTTTTAGTCATGCTACAATCTCATTGCTTCCAGATAATGTAAAATATAATCTCAAAGTATCTGGTAACAATAAATGGGATGGAAGAGATGCAGTTTTTGATCTTAGTGTTTGTTTTACAGTACATAGATGTGATTTAAACAAGAAGATTATTGTAATAAAGTTATGGTCTAGAAATGGTATAAAATCACAATTCACCATTGGCCAAACTGTTATTCCTATAAAAGAATGTAATCTTTTGTTCTCACCATGTAGAAAGTGCTTCCAATTGATAAGTGAAAATGTAAGTGTTCATTAAATATAATATCATAAGGAGCAAAACGAAATAAGATAAATTAAACTATTTCCATTAAAACCAATTTTATTTACAGTTGTTTAATGTAAAGCATTTACCCATATTTTCTTTGAATTTAAACATATTGTGAGTGTTTGCTTATGAGCTGCACAAATCTTTTGCTTTTGAATAGTAATAGCGGTTGATTTTTAGCTATTCCAGAAAGTATACATGGGGTATAACATTTCTGAACTATACACCAAACGCTGTAGTATAAATTGTGACTTTAACTACATGAAACTTCTATTCTTCACAAATATTTAAGAACTAATTACGGAAATTCATCTCTATTTATTGAATACTATGATGGATGGTCACAAATTTTGTACGCTATAAAGAAGCATGAAAAGTAAACTATTATTCAAATTAAGTATCATTCGTTACTGCCTAAATAACGCCTATATATGATTGCCAGATCAATTCAAAGCGATAGCTTACCAAGCAGTTGAACAGCATTCATACACATCCAACTATTCAGAAGATAGTTTTTTCTGTACATTTTGATATATATAGTACGCACATGTTTGGTAGGGACTTTCTACCTAGTCACTGATCCTCAGAATCTCATACAATTGAACTCTGAATGAAAGATACAATGAGAGACGTAAGAAAAATGTTTTATGTTCAAGATACCTTTAGAATGAGAAAAAAAGATATTTATAGCTTCATTTTGGAGCTTGATATTCTGAAATATTCAAGAAACGTTCCAAATTGGTAAATAACCAATCAAGATATGACAGACTATCTATCGTTTATTTATACTCTCTGGGGGGACATCTCTGTTGTATAATTACTAGACAAAGAGTTTTCAGCCTTCTTTTAACTTTGTAAACTTTATCAAGGACGTACTCTCTTGTGAAAAATATGATTTTTCTCTGGTCTACCTAGTTTCACGTTTCCGGTAGCGTTCTATTTTCTGATTTTTTATGCTTATACAACTATCACTTCTGTTTCTTAATTTTTCATCAATGACTGTGTATATTCGCGAGGTATCCATGAGTATAATAAGCTGAAAATTAATTACATCGTCTTCTATGTTCATTGTTATATTTACCCCTAAGTGTACGATTTGTTTTTCCCACGTTCCAAGTATCTCTCGCACAATGAACAAAACTTTTCCGATTCTTCTTCCTATAGTTCCTAGTCCCTATTTATTTGTACCGTGATATGACTTTACAAACACTTTATCTCTTACGTAAAAACTGCAAGTGTACATATTCTCTCCTTGTCTCTCTATCTTTGTTGGCTAAAGCAGGAAGTTAAAAGTCATCCTGACACCTTTCCCTGATATTTTTTCCACAAACGATTTCCACCCTGGAATAACAAGATTAGCCATAACTGGATAAAATGTTAAAAACTTGATAATTACTCAGATTTTCATTCAATCTCCTTTTAAGGTAAAGCTTGTTTAAAGGTATCCATGCTGCTTGACCGTTTGACTATGGATCGTAAGGAGAAAAGCGTAAGTGAATAATCCCTGACTAAGTATTTCATGTAGAACATTTAAATCTATTGTTTTATTTATAACAAAAGATTTATAATCTGTCAATAATATTTTTCCTCATAGAATTCAATCATTACAAATCCTAACATAAATACAGCTTACTACGGTGAAATCAAACTTGCTTTACGTTTTGCAATATCTGATTATCAGAAAAAAGTGTTGTGTGTAACTGATGAAGCTATTGATTTGATTGGCGTATTAAATGTATGGATAAAGGAAGGAAAGAATTTGCATTCACAAAAAGCTGGTACAGATATAAATTCTTACGTGACCGTGTACGTTTACAATTATAATTCTGTGTTTTAAAAATCAAATAACAACTTCACTCATGAAATTTATTTTGGAATTCTAAAATGTGTACATCAATTACAGCTTGTTGAGTTAACTATATCAATGGTATAACAGTTACCAACTGATGGCATTTAATGATAAATGGTAAATATAATAAGGTGATAGATTTTTGAAATAATGACACCTCGATGAAGACCAGACACCTCAACTAACTTGCGATTGCCATAAGAATAAACATCGCTACATTGGATTGTGTATTCGATTGTTATTGTATGATAGTCAAGTGAGATGGAGTGAAAAGAATTAAGTATCCATCGTGTTTCAATGGACTAAAATATTAAATATTGCTTTATTACATCTATTGTTTAGATGAATGAATGGTCCGTAAGTTTTTCCATATTTAACAAGCTAAACAGCAATAACGATACTTACAAAATATTCAATATTCAGTTATATGGTACACTGTTTTTACAGTATTGAAAATTAAAAGGCAGTAAATAGATTCCAATAAGTGAACAATTAACAGACATACTTTGACATCAAATAGAATCTATCAAATAAACATTTGCTTTTATCAACCACATTCATGCAATTATTTAATTTAATTAGGGAACTAACTGATCCTGACCACAAAACAGAATGTCAAAGTACTGATCAAATTCTACGAAGTGATCAACCAGTTTGGAATAGTTTACTTCAGTTTTCAGACAAACATCTTAGTGAATTAATCGAATCTACTATGAAAATATTTATTTGGAATCGTTCAAGTAGCTTTAGTGATCCAGAACTATTGGGGATCGTACAAATTGCCAATAAAGGTAATTATATATATATATATATATATATATATATATATATATATATATATATATATATATATATATATATGTATATATATAATATATATATATATATGATACTGAATACCCCACAGATTAACTTGCGAATTAAACTGCTATGTGCAAACATAGGGCCCAAATCAGACAACTATAGATATTTTATGAATGAATGAATGAATACTTATTATACAGTGAGCATCTAGAAAGTTACGTCTTTTGTCCCATTATCTTTTAAGAACATGCAATAATACGATAATCAGTGATGAGAGAACGAAATAATCGCCAGTTATAATTATTACATAACATTCTTTATTCGTCAACAACATTTTCATAAGTAAAAATGAATGTTGATAATGATGATTTCGTTGAAATTATTCCATACTTTTCTATGGCAACATAAATTAAACTGTTCAACAAAGAATGGAAAATCAACATTCAAGAAATTTCATCTCAATCAAAGATGCGAACTATTTCACTCCAAGCTCACTGGTTGAATTTTAATTCAAGCGTCGAGACCTGAAGATAATATTTAAGGAAATGTTTGACCGATTCATGTAAAATATCATTTTCCTATGTCACACATCATTTCTATTTTTATCTATAAATACTACAATTTTCAGAAGGGGTTTTGTGGATATTATAGTAATTTTAATAAATGAGATCATTAGTCAATTAAAGCTGGACCTTCATGAAAAACCTGGAAGCACTGGACGGCCGTTTCGTCCTACTACGAGACTCCTCAGCAGTGCGCATTCACGATCCCGCCCGCGAGGTTCAAACCCAGGACCTATCCGTCTCGCGTGCGAGCGCTTAACTTATAGACCACTGAGCCGGCCGGCATCCAACGGTTTTCTCTCAACTCTAAAATACATTATCCTTCCCCCAATTACTGCTATAATTTTCTTTCAGAACATCTACATACTCCTGAGAATATCAAGTTTATATTACAATTCTCCTAAAAAATTTTATTATTATAAAATACATCTCTTTATTTTTGTTTTTTCTTCCTGCCTTTTTTGTTTAAACTGAAGAAGAATCCGAATTAATGGATACGATCAATGAAAACAACGTAAATGCTAATGTATATCAAGGCAGTACAATAACGAAAAGTATATCATTGTGGGAATCTGTAATATCTAAACCTGGTGACTGGATAGAAGGTCTGCTTAATATTACAGCTCCTAATATAAAATAACGAATATAAAACTTTTTATAGAAATATATGTATATAAATCTTGTAACTACTTAGAATTTGGCAGTAATTTTCAAATGTTAATTCCTATAATTCTTACAAATTATTGCAAACTATTACATAACAATACAGTTTACAGATTTCTTAAATGTTATTGATATTGAGAATTTAACTCTGATTTAATAGTCAATTAACAGGTTTGAAACATTTTCCCACTTTAACTTTCTTATATTATTTTTATAACAGCCTAATTGTAAAGTATTCTTATGTATTGAGAATTGGTCAATCTAGAATAAGTAACTGTTTGAATAGATATTAATTTGAATATTGTAATTAAATTAAGTATTAAAAGTCAATTAAATATAAACAGATTTCAAGGTAAAATAAAGTAAAGAGGTTTTTGGTAAATCCTTTAAGTGATTACAGCTAATACAGTTTACGACTTTGGTTCCTTTAGAGCTTCTGAAGGTTTCGTTGAGCTTTTTGAGGGCCATCTTAATAGTTTTAAGAATATTAAAGAAATTAAATACGATTATCTATTAATATTTCAGATATATATTATTTCCCTTATTTTGATTTTCAATATTACACTTAATGTATATACTTTCATTAGGTTATTTGTTACAAAAACTGATTCACCCAAGTTGCAGTCGAGTTGTAATTATAACCTATGAATTTTTATGAGAAATGTTACTTACACAAAAGTAAGTGGAAAATATGCTTGAACACTTATAATCAGGCTGTTTAATTACGCGATCAGTAAATAATTGGATATATTAATAAAATTATAAAAACTAATATAAAACCATATTAATTGTAATAAATATCCTGGGAACATCTGTCTATGAACTATATGACCATGAAAACCTATAAACAAGAACTATTTCAAGGTTGCTTACCGTATGTAAGTGTGTTTGATTACTCAACAGAGCATGTATATAACGTTCAATCTGTATTAAATCTCAGAATGTACTTAAATATGTTGGGGGATGGTAGGTCCTCAGAAATCACTTGGTAAACGTCTTAGTTTTGCAATTCTATTTTGGAAATTTGAATCTTTTTGTTTTCGTGCCAAAAGCGCCCATTTTTACACTTAGATTATATTCCCCACTTGAAAGGACTCTAAATGCCACCGGTTCGTTTCCTCTTTTAATATGCTATTTCGTGACGTTTCCCAAGGGTAGTTTTATGCTGTATATATACGCTCCAGTTGTGTGCTTGTTGTAGTACATATTTATGGATGCTTGTGAAATATGATTTTCTTGTTCTGATTTTGGTGTTCGTTCTCTACTTAGCGGGGCTAAGACGCATCGGAATAGTTAGTTTAGCTGGTCGTTATGACGCTGATACCTAGTCCCATTTATCGACTTTAGATGATCTCGTAATCTCTTCAAACTTAGAAAAATATGGTTAAAAGATTTTCTAATGTCGATTTGAAAAACATTTAACAAAGTTTTTAAAATACGTTAAAATATATGATCATGTTTTAATTCAGCATGGTATTTGTGTTAATATTGTGGTGTTTGCTGCTGATGTCGACAGATATAATTAGTATGTATCATCAATAGAAATTGGAAAACCTAAAAGCAGAAGGTTGAGAAAATTGATGTGAAGAGAACGAGAACAGAGAATGATCGGTATGGAAACGAAGGAACAATGAAGTGTGAGACAACTGATGGATACTTTGCAAATGAAATATTTACTGTGTTATAGCAACTCTCGTAAAATCAATTTCGATAATGGTTATATTTCGTCAAGCCTTTTTAATAACTTACTTAACAGACAATATTATCCGAACAGTAACAATCCGCATATTTCTTTGTACTATTATGTACCATTATCTTGTCTGTATAAACGTGTACCCTTGATCACATGATAGCCTACGCACATATCCCTCCATAGCCAAAATGTTGATAGCTTAAATATAGCTCGATGAATCCTTCTCTTTCCCATGTGTATATATATACTCAAATTCTATTATTAGCCTTTGCCTTGCCTAGCTGCGCCTTATCCGATTTGACTACGAATTTGCTTCTGTATGAGCTCGCATACACACATTCGTCTCTGCTTCAAATTCGCTCGATGTGCATATGACTTTGTTGTCTGTGTTATACGCTGATAAACTGTAGTCGCAGCTTCTAATTGCCTTCTAGTTTCAAACACCATTGAGATTTATATAATAACGATTATCAGGGTGATTGATTAATGAAGCCAAGCCACTACAGTATTCAACTACATTTAGTTGTCCGCGCCTATGTTCACGTTCACTACAGTATTACAACTGATTTAATTTATAAGCAAAGACGGATAGTGGCTAGCAGTGGGATCCAGGACGCGCGTTTCGTCTTATGTGGGACTCGTCAGCTGGACCTGACTGCATGTCAGGGTTGATGTTCATTCTGGGACTCGAACCCAGTACTTTTCGATTCAAACGCCACCGCGTTCTCCACACAGCTACTGAGTCTTGATAGCCACTAGCTTGTGCAATAGGGTGAATTTAAATTCACTTGGTATTGTTTACTTGAATCTTCCTATCGATGTTTAGGACTGCAATTGACCGGTCTCTCATTGGCATATGTGCATCCTGTGCGTATGCCTCGATATTGCTTTAATTCACAAGCATTATAAATAAAGATGGATATTGGCTAGCAGTGGAATCCAGGACGCGCGTTTCTTCTTATCTGAGACTCGTCAGCTGGCTGGATCCCAGGGGAGAGTATAAAGTAAAAGAGTAAAAGTATATTACAAACAATTCATTAGTTCATCGCAGTTGAGTAAATAACTCGCATTGTATGCATTTGGTTAAAAGACAAAGTAATAAGAATATATTAAAGCTATTATTTTGAGATTAGGATCCGTTGATGAAGACGTTTTGTGAATTACAGTTCATGAAAAGAAGGTTTTTTGTAGAGTTTTGTCAACTATTTAGTTGAATAGACGTTAGATAATATTTGAAGACGAATTTAAAGTGATAAGTTTAGGAGCTATGAAGATGAAAGAATACTTGTTTTATCTTGTTGAATATATACCATTTGCTTTGTCAATGTATAACGTAATGATAACGCCAATTAGAGAACAGTGAATTATCGATCGGACCAATGCCACATAAAACCCGTACGACCAGTCTAGATTACTTATCGGTCCTGCTTCCTGCCTAGCCTTGACTGTTATGTCCAGAACACTAATCTCAGCCTCTGCGATATGAATCATTTATTTCAAACACACTGAGTTTATATATAATCCAAACAGACCACATCGTACCATAAAATAGGAGACAACATTTGTGCAAGATTTAGCCAAATATGGCTGTGAATGTGGGAGATAGTAATTGATATACAGGGCATAACTGAAGAATGGTAAATCGTATAATAACAGTTCATAGGTCAAAAGAAAGCTTATGGTAATAGGAACACGGATATGAATAGTTTAGCTACTTAATAATTATACAATAAAAATACATGTATCGTATTAGTTCATGAATAGTTCTCAAATATTACCATTCATAACTCTCACAGAGATATAACAAATATGATCTCGATTGTACCAAAAGTATTCTTTATTGTTTCCTTAGTACTATTTAAACTTGTCTTCTCTTTATTTCAGCTATTTATTCACTCCGAAGAAGTGATCTACATTAAGTCACGAACTGTCAGATATAAAAGTTTTCTAAACATTGGAATATAACAAAACAATTTTAATTTTTTTTATTAAGATTGAAATTATTATCTAATGTTATATTTATCTTAATTTATAAACTAATCACAAGCATAGAAGTAAAAACATTTAGATAATTAAAACAACTCATTGTGTCATTGAATAAAAAATAAAAAGAATTCAGTGAAGAAAATTTCTTTTTCGACAAAATCATTTACTTGTGCTGTACATTCATATTTATAGTTGCATAGTAAATATTATGTCTGTAAAAGCATAGTAAAGATTGATCTGTAAATTATTTTCATCCTACTATTCTTCTCTAATGCCCTGATTATTATGTAATCTCATTTGATATTTGGAATCTCGAATCACTATATAAAACAATCTTTCCTATTCTTCCATAGACATTTATTTACCATACAACTATCAATAAGAATATACAGCTTAAATAAATGATTTTGTTGAAAAGAAAATTTTCTTCACTGAATTCTTTTTATTTTTAAAATGATTTGTAAAGTAATAATTTCTCCGCCTAATTTATCATTCCGTTTTACAGTTTGCTATCAATAAATATAATGATTGTATTAAATATCTATTCTAGAAATCAATCTCAAGCATATCTTTATTTTATAAAATATGAATTGTAAGGATTTATTGGTTAGTATTTCAAAGAATAACTTCGCCTGGAGTCCCTCCCGGGGGCTACCGCCGGTCCCAAGCATGGATAAAGGCGGAGGGTTGAGCATGGAGTTAGCGACCGCATCCCGTAAAAAAATAACTCGCTAAAAAAACGCTTACCAAAAAAAATTATCCAATAAAAAATTTCAAAAAAATAACATAACTATACGTATAAAAAAGTGCCGTAATCATGATATGCTTTGTGTTACAAACGGCAATACCGTAACCTTAAAAATAACAGATTCATTTGAACTCAACTTAAAAAGTTATCGTATTTTAACCGTATATTATAAATACTGTCTTTTCTATATATGTCATTTACTAAATTGTCAAAAATAAGTTGAGATTGAAACATTGATATTTATATATTTAACGGTTTACATGATGTGTTATTTCTTATTATAACAATTGGAGGTATCTTTTAACATGTTAGAAATAAGAATATCTGTTATGTGAGTTGTTGACACTGTTAGATATTTAGGAAGATAGATATTGAAATTCATTACCAAATCTATATATTGATTCTCATATATTGTTTATCGAATGATCAACAACAGTGCAGTTATTTGTATCAAACTTGAAATGTTTCATCGTTTAATAAAACAAACGTTTAGTAATAAAGCTCCACTGCCTATTTATTGAAATAAAAGATAATTAAGCATATAACAATTTACTATATTTATATCTAAACTACTAGTAGTAACAAACAGACATTTATGCTAAAACAATGGTTGAATAGACCTCCATACAATTCATAACGAATTAGTGATAAACGTGATTCATTAGATAGTACAGTCACTCATGGAAATCATGTAATATACACGATTTTAGTCAACGAATATCAAGTTAAACGATCACATCAGACACCCAGATAATGGGTAGTCAATTCTTAAGATCTTTATAATCTCATGGTTCGTAAAGGTCAAAAATCACACAGTAACATTGTTTGTTTTATCAGTTAAACTTAATGTTGAAACAAAAGCTGTTAGATTTCTTTTACTCAAAGATCAATAAACCATGAAATCTTTTAAAAATATATACGCTTTTGCATATCTCTTAAATGAAGTTCTCAATAGTAGGACTACATTTTGCTTAGTTGCATGCAACAAAAACATAGTTTTAAATAAAGAACATCTGGTTTACCAAACTATCCTAGTGAACCTATCAAACAGAAAAATAGTACTATATTCAAATCAACTAGTATATTAACATATGAGTTTGTGAAAGTTTCTTATTTTATAGTATACATCATGGATTATTACTAGTTAAACAAATGCTTGAAACTAGAAAGCCTTGAATAGCTGATCTTTCTAGTATACAACTCACTGATCGATAGGTCAAACACTTACTGTAAGATATGTATAACCTGCGTACGATCCCATATATGGTTGTAGGTGTACACGAACAGAGAATCTCATACGAAAGCTAGAGTTCGTTTGAATGCTTCCTAATGATTTACAATGATTGTCTAACTAAGGTCAATCAACAAATAAAAAATATTTCCAAAACAGAATAAAAACACATTTTCTTGCATGAATAACTGATCTTCATTATTAGCCCTTCATTACTCCTTTTCCATTAAAGCATAACACTTTATATTTTATTAATATGATTTCGATTCCTATAACCGAATGTATTTTGTTATTCAGATAAATAAGAAGGATGCCGGTTCAGTGATCTAGTTGATTAGGCGCCTGGCACGAGACTGATAGGTCCTGGGTTCGAATCTCGTGGGGGGGGGCGAGATTGTAGATGCGCACTGCTGAGGAGTCCCGTACTGGGACGAAACGGACATCCAGTGCTTCCAGGTTTTCCATGGTGGTCTAGTTTCAATTGACTCATCAGTTCAATCTGTGAAATTTCTAAAATCTCCACAAACCCCTTCTAAGAATAAATAAGAATAAATTAAATTATTTCTATTCTCAATTGTAATTAGTTGTATCATGTCATTTACAATTTATTTAAGTAGATTTATCACGCTAATTATAAATAAAAAAGGAAATTATACAATAATAAGAACAAAAATAGAGATACCACATTTAAATACATAAGTTATTATTCTTTATATTTCTATCATTCTTTAAGGTCATTTCAGTTATCTTATTCAGTATTATTATTGTTTATAAATTTTATTTATAAGAAGAAAATCTTATTTTAATTCATTCTTGCTTTATACACGTCAATATTTTTGTTGTTGCTGCGCTTGTTTTGTTTGCAGAAAATCCGGAACTCTCTTTTCTTTTTAATTTACTTTTTATCATATTCATTGTATAATAAAATAAAGAAAAGTAAATAAATAAGTAAAAATGATAAATCATAATTTCTAATTAACATTCAATAGGATACGTTTAATTATTGAGACAGTTTTCATGATACACTTTTGTTGTTGTTGTTGGTGGTGGTGGTTTTGTTGATGGTGATGGTGGTGGTGGCAGTGTTGTCAAATATTCGTTTTCATTTAAATAAAATTTTTAAAAAAAATGGATGGTTGAACCAGTCAGTAATTGGAAATAATTAACCAATCAAATGTTGCTATGATAAATAAATAAATATATATATTGTTCGCTCAACATTCAATACAGTTTTCGAATCCAAACTGATCTAAATTTATAACATTCTTTATAGACATTTATGAATTAGTGAAATATTTTGTTTTGTTTCCTTTTTTTAAAAAAAAACAGACTAATTTACATGTTCTTAGCTAAACTCATATTGTTATTGAAAATAGTTATTATTATTATTTATTCACAGAATGTTATAAATTGTGATGAAAAGACGGAATTATTACAAAATGATCTATTATCCAATGTACCATTATTAGATAATTATGAATGGGAGATAGTTACAAGTTTAGTACTGGATTCAATTGAAGATGCTACAAAATATTTATGGAAACATAGAATTAAGGTGAATTTAGATGGTTATTTAGGAACTACAATGGTTGAAGGTAAGTACATATTTATTATTAGTATTATTTAGTTGTATCTACAAATGAAAAACGTAATCAGATTATACGGAAAGTTTTTTTTCATGAATATAACTAACGCCTTGTTCTGTCAACCTAGAAACTGATCGATTGTTTGACTTGATTTTTAGCCTACAGTTGTACATAACTTTTTTTAATGGTTAATAAATTATTTCAGCTATAAGAAACATTTTATCACATCAAATAGCTGCCCATTTCATTTTTGCTTACGTAAATATCAACTAACTGTCACCCGTCAAGATATATCGTAGTTAATATTAGTGTATGTAGATAGTCATGGATACACGTTCAACTGAAAAATGTTAAAATCTTTGTCAGATGGAATACTAAAAAGACCGGAGGATTGTTAGAAGCTTTTTAATCAGGTCAGTTGACAATCAACAAACATTTAAAAAATCAATCCAAGTTATCAGTTCACAGTACGAAAATTCATTAAAATAATCTACCTAAACTACAAATACTCACCATTTCAACATGAGAAATTATTAATTCGATTTCTTTTACCGCCAACTATTTATGCTGTAAGATTAGCTTTGAAAAGTAGTAATAAATAATATTTCAAACAATAACTGGTTTTACTATTTTGTTCAAAACTCTTCCCAATTTTTTATCATGGATTATCTAAAGAGATTTGATACTAATTGAATACATATAATGTGATTATTGAAACTGATTGAGCCATTAATTCATTATTATGATCCGCTAAAAAAATTGGGTTTTTTCTTTATATGTATTATGAACACTGTTTACAGTAACGTCATTCAGTTAGTTTTCACATCGCATAGTTTCCATGATCACATTTCGTTTTATCGTCAATACATAATTTCAAATTAGTTGTATGTATTTTGAACATTCATTTTTTCATATGCTTAAATTTAGTTATATTCTACAATTCACAAAAATATGATCAAATTTACATGTGAATAACTACCATACATAAAATTATTAGTATCAGAATGGGTTTTGTGGATATTATAGTACTGTCAATGGTTGAGATCATGAGTCAATTGAAGCTAGACCACCGTGGAAAACCTGGAAGCATAGGATGGCCATTCCGTCCTATCGTGTGACTCCTCAGCTTCAATTGACACATAATCTGAACTATTGAAATTACTATGATATCCACAAAATCCCCTTCTGATACTAATCAGCATATGCTCACTAGTGACTGGCTTCAAGAGGTATTTCCTGCAGTTCCAGTGAGAAGCAGTGACCAGTGGAGTTCAACCAGGTCTGTTGTGAGATAGTAACTCACTGAAGACAATAGTGGATGTGTCGCTCAATTTCGTTGATTGTTTGAAGTTAGACATTAACACCCTTGTATGCCGGCTCAATGGTCTAGAGGTTAAGTGCTCGCGCGTAAGACAGATATGTCCTAAGTTCGAATCTCGCACCAGGGGATTTGGAGACTAGTACACTCAATCGAATTTTAAGTAATGAAATAAATGTAGCACATATAATCTAACAAAATATTACAACGTAATGGGTCTGTAAACAAGCCAGTTCTCCAACAAAAATCTACTGACTTTCGTATATGGCAGAGTATAATAACAAATCAATATCAATAAATACTCTAAATTTTTCCGAAAGGTCATTCATTTCGATTCCGCTTGTTTCACAAATTTCCCACGAATGCTCAGGTAAGGACGCCGGTAGTGAAATGTTCTCACATGACCACACGTATACAGGCACTATCAAGAAAGTCCTATTCACTGCCTTCTCTCGGCATTGCTGTTGTTCACAAAGTTGAGAGGATGAAAAGCGAATGCTCGGCGCTTTAATCAGGTTAGCGGATACTGTGGGTCCACCTGGGGGAGTTGGAAAATCCTGATTCCAAACCAATGGAGTACATGGGCTCCAGGATCCTGAAGAAAATAAATAACGTATGAGTCAATTGTTGGTCACCGGCTACCATGTTACTGCGTCTCCTGACGTTGCTGCACTGCCTTATAGATCAGACTTTTAAGTTGAAGGCTCGGGGCGTGACCCGCTAAGAAAACCACCTGCTTCGGTCTGGGCCTACGAACAGTATCACAGTCCTTACACAAATCGAATAATTTATATGGCGAACATGTATTTGTTGTTTCGTTGTATCAATGCCTATGTGTTCAAATAAGTAATAAATAAATAAGCCAGAGATCACTTGAAATTACAAAACTTAAAATTTGTACTACAGGTGATCGTTTCAATATCGAATAAATAATTTACATATAGACATTTGTCAACATATGAATAAATTATTAAATATCTTTTTGCTTTATCCCAATGAGATAAAATATAAAAAAATATATTTATTATTAATTCTCTACTCAGTATTCAATTTATTTGAAACTCTCATGTTCAATCTTGCTATGGATACCTATTTGAACAAATTGTCTGACAGAAATTGGAACTCAAGTATAAATTGGATATTAGATGTCAATGTGCATTTAAAGTAATCTTAGTGACTCAAAATGAACACTAATTACAAGGTTTCACCCGACAATCTGCTCCGAGTTACTTTTAGGAAATAATCAGTATCAAATATATGAAAGATAACTAAATTTACGATAATTTTGTATTAACCACTTGTCCATCCGTTTGAAAGTATTGATATTAACAAACCATTTAATATCAATGGTGTTCCAAATGAGTTATTTCAGGTTACATATTTGTGTGTTATTTTTTTATTAGAGTTCGATAAGTATGTGACGCTTTAATTTACGGGTGGGATAATATTAAACATTTTATTACTCATAAGAATGAAAGTACACTAAAATAGAATTGAAGTTAACAAAGTATGTACTGTCAGGAGATATGTTGATTTTACTCGTAATATGTTAATAAGTATTTGCTTACTTACTTACGCCTGTTAACCCTCATGGAGGAGCATAAGCTGCCCACTAGCACTCTCCATCCAACTCTGTCCTTGGTAATCCTTTCCAGTTGCTATTCCTCTTTTTCATGTCTGTTTACAATTCCCAACGTAGTGTGTTCTTCGGCCTTCCTATTTTCCGTTAATAAATAGTAATTAATGATAAATCAAAGCATAATAATTGACTTAATCAATAAAACGTCCGTTATTGTTTATATCTCTGTTACTGGTGGACTAAATAGGCAGGATGTTAAAAGCAACGTTTTTATTTATTTATCAACAGTTTCTGTAGTGTGCTTAACTATATTCCATCCAGTCTATTGAGATTGTGAAGATTCGTCAATATATTCACCAGTACGTCTGTTCTATTTTTACAAAAGGAAAAATAATACTAAAGAATCTTTTTTGGGGTGAAAATAATTCTCTGTTTGTCCCTATTAGATGTGATGCTACAGTTGATCTATTATCAAAACTCCTGGAGTTTATCTAAGGATTTAGAAATAAATGTTCAACATTGCTTTTATTCTCTCATTTTCACATTCAAGTCTTCAGATCCCTTACTGCTTATGTGGCCTTACCACTTCCATAAATATAACTTCGTTTTCCTTTGAGGATCACGTCCCTGACTCAGTGAAACATCATGTATTTCAACTGATTGTTGACATAAACATTTATTTTAACTAGTTTATTAAAAGTCAATATCAATAAAGTACAAGAGTCAATTGAAGCTATATCACCTTGAAAAACCTGGAAGCACTAGATGGCCGTTTCGTCCTTGTGTGTGACTCCTTAGCAGTGTGCATCAACGATCCCGCCTCGCGAGATTTGTACCCAGGACCTATCAGTCTTACGCTTTCAGGTTTTTCATGACGGTCTAGTTTTAATTGACTCATGAATTCAACTACTAAATTACTAATGATATCCACAAAACCACTCTCTGATTATAATAAAATATATACTGAACGTTCATAAGCAAGAAAATTTTCTAATTGTCAGTCGAGAAACATTTCAGCTAATTATCTGCAGTACCAATCCATAAGAATACCATACAAAATATGTTTTAGTTAACTTAATAAAAAACAATAAATTAATTTATAGATAATGTATATTACTGTATATAAGTAAAAGTCACTGATTATGACTACGTGAAATGAATGCTCAGAGACTTTGAATGAAATGTGTCACAATTATGAATGTTTCTGATGTATTACAAGTTTATATTACATAAATTCAAATGAAAATGGTTTTATTCCAATTGTTTGAAAACATTTTACAAAACAAAAACCCATATGTATCTATCTAAATTATAAATATATCAATATAATAAATGAATTTATACAACATATGACTTAATGTTGTAACCAAGACGTTGAGGCTTTATTAGATTTAAACAGCATAACTATTAGAATAATGATTGCTGTTTTGTTTTTATTTGTATTATTTTTGATGAATAGGCATTATTCGGACCCTGTTGAAATTATACAGACATAAAATGCCTCAGGTAATTGATAAAAGAATGCGATTACTTCAAGAAAAATTGGAAATGTTAAATAATTTTGGTGTGATGAATGTTGAGAAACAAACTCCATTTTATTTTTCACGTAAGTTTACATTCATATTAATCTCTTACCTTTGGGAATTTTACAGTGCTTATTACAGTTCATGGAATAATTTATGTAATATGTTTCGTTTTTTATTCAAGAATTATCCCTACAGTACCTAATGTTTTGTCTTTGACTTCAATTTCTTTGAATTACCTTATTCACAATTGGTTGATCACTGGGTGGTGATCAATGTCATGTGTGTCAAGTCATTCTTAGTGCAGATTGAATACTATCGACCAAGTTGTAATGTGGCTGCTAGTCTCGGTGACTTGACATTGCGTGCACTATGTTGAGGTAAGATGGTGGTTTGAGGTAGTCAACAGGAAACCCGGAACCCGGTTTTCGTGCTCATTGATACTCATCAGCAAGGAGTACCCGTAATTTTGAGGGATCTGGTGTTCGCTGACGGATTCGATCCCGTGTCACCCAGCTTCGCAGTCAGAGTCGTTACCACTGGGCTATCCGGGCCGCGAACGACCACCTGTAGGACTGAGATTTATTCACAATTGATTGATCACTGGGTGGTGATCAATGTCATGTATGTCAAGTCCTTCTTCTCCATAGATTTTATTGGGTGACTCAATTTAGTGTTTTATCTTATCGTTTGAACTAATCTCTCATTGATTTAATCATATATTGGGATAATTTTTTAATTTCTGGATATTGTCTTGTATTTAAATGTTTGTTTTTAAACTTATAGTTTCTGTTATCTTGAAAAGTGTATTCATTTAATTACTGGACTTTCATGTGATAATTACATACAATACTTGACTAGTGCGTCAATTCAATCAATATTTACCGAAGACGAAAATTTCACAAAACGAAAACTAGACCTTAAATAAAGCCAGAACGAACATGGATGCAGAATATTATGAACAGATTATATTTCGTGGTTTTATCATCAGCTTCTTACAGCCAAATATGTAATGAAGGGTTGACATCAGATTCATGGGATTAAAGAACTAGTAAAATGGGTTACGTAATAATTGAATGGGATTTGAAGAGTTTGCAGAATCTAAGAGAATCGAGTGTGTGGAAATGTATGAGAGAACGGGTAGTTTAAGAATTCGGTAATGAACGAGAAATGTAACGAAATAAACATTAACAAAATAGAACTAATGACCAATAATTGAATTAAGAGGGTAGTGATAGGTTTATTACTGTCTCTTTTTGGATACATAAATCAGGTTTCAGTTTTTTTATCTCGATCGCTTCAGCAAAACGAAGAGAAGTAGTATTTTTTTATCTGCTAATAGTTTTAAAAGCATGAGGAATGTCAATGGTATGCCCGGTGTCAAGTAAATATCGAACTATTGCACTGTTAAGAGCTCTTGTCCCCCGCAGTCTGAATTTCTTTGTAACATGCTCGGAAATGCCAAGATGTACTCTTCTTGATTCTAATGACAGATAATCTCTAACCTGTTCTCGCATATATATATAGTTATTATTTATAACCTTTGTCATTCCAATTCTTTACATTCACTTATGTCTATTATTGCATTCTATATCTTACCTCAATGTAAAATTTTAATACATATTTGGTTGTAAGCAGCTGATGATAAAACCACGAAATATAATCAATTCGTAATATTCTGCATCCATGTTTCTTCTGGCTTCATTTAAATTCATGAAGGAAACTAGACCTTAAATTGAAATATTGATGTTTACGAGATATTATTTAGTTTCTTCATTTCAGCTTTAAAATGAAATTAAAGATCTTCAGAAAGCGAGCAATCATACATTTAGATGATATTCAACCTTCATTACATTTTTAGTAAATGTAGTTCAATACACCACTTTGTAACATAAACTGATTGAGTTATATCATTTCATTAAAATGAACTTTAAATATACCATATAAGAATCATAAATATGTTTCAGTGAAATTGCTTAAATAAGGTTTGATCATGCAATATAACACATTTTATTAAAATATATATATATATATATATCACAAATTCCATGGAACTTATTCACTTAGTCATAGTAACAAAACACGTAAATGATACATAAATAAACAAACTAGAATTCTCTTTTTCTCTTTAGAACAATGGAAATCAAAGAAAACGTAATACTTTTTACCCAAGTTCCTTAGAATGATTATTTTCTATTTAGCTACTCACTGATCACTAATGTCAAAGTATATACACATATAGGGGGGGATAAAGAGGGAGAGGGATTATTCAGCTATAGCATTGTGTAATTATTTTTCAAAGAGACATTTTTATTTATCTTCAAATAAATAAAATGATCTAACTTAAAAGGAAAGTAAACAGACTGATAGATTTATGGATATCTTCACCTATTTTTTTCTTCAAATAAATTTGATTTATATTACAGTAATTTATACAATTTTATTCTTAGGTTTACGGCAAGAGAAAAGAGATCATATTTTAAACAACTTTCATCTTTATTATTTATGATCACAAAAATAAACTGAGTTCATCGATATTTTAATTTGCTTTGATAAGTATAATTCTGTTAATGTATTTTTCCTAGTATTATAAGCAAAGATGGATAGTCACAATTGATTGATCACTGGGTGGTGATCAATGTCATGTGTGTCAAGTCCTTATTTAGTGCAGATTGAATGTTATAGACTATGTTGAAATGTAGTCACCAGTCTAGGTGACTCGACACTGTGTGCACTATATATTGAGATTAGATGGATAGTGGCTAGTAGTGGAATCCAGGATGTGCGTTTCGTCCCATTTGGTACTCTTCAGCTGGATGCTACGTGGATAACGCGATGGCGTTTGAAGCGAACGGTACTCAGTTCTAGTCCTATAGTGAACACCAACTCTGAGATGCAGGTATATCCAGCTGACGAGTCTCAAACAAGACGAAACGCGCGTCCTGTATTCTAACTGCTAGTCATTGTCCATCTTTACTTATAATACTTGTGAATTAGGGCAATATCGAAGCAATATGCACATATTGCCAATAAGAGACTGATCAATTGCAGTCCTAAACATCAACGGGAAGATTCAAGTAAACAATACTAATTGGATTTATTTTTCCTAGTAGTTTATTTAAACTTCTTATGAAGATTTATTAGGATTAGTGGTATTAAATTACTGTAATCCAGGCAACAAGAATGTTTTTTTTTGATGAAGTTAATAAAAACTCTGTGTACAAAACTCAAATAGGAAATATCTTATTCTTTCATTAATAAGCGTGAAAAATCCCCCTATTAATTACTTCGATTTTATTTATTTGTTTATTTTGTGTGTATTAAATGATGATATTAATCACAGACTGACATTATCTAGATTATTAAAAGCCATAAATCAATAAATGGCTAACCTTTTCAAGCTATGAATAAATTAGTCATTTATAAATAATTCTACAATGGACCACACAGAAAACTATCAGGTCTTATAATAATCTCTTTACCACCGAATGACTAACTGAGCCGAATACTAACGATCAATAATGGTTATCCACTTATACGAACTTAAGATTAAAGTTATCTGAGATTAGGTGGTGGTTGGAGGTAGTTGACAGGAAACCCTCGACCCGGGTTTCATGCTACTTGGCACTCGTCAGCAAGGTGTACCTGTAATCTTGAGGGAACTGGTGTCGAGTCACCTAGACTGGTGGCCATATTTCAACATGGTCGATAACATTCAATCTGAACTAAATAAGTACTTGACACACATGACACTGATCACCACCCATTGATCAATCAATTGTGATTAAAGTTATCTTTAACCAATAAATCTTTTAGTCCTTTGGAAATGTCGCTTTTTTATATACTATACTTATTACAGATTTATCTTAAAATATATCTGCTGGTTTCGAAATAATCTTTGGAAAGTATATGTAATATTTTGTTTGTCAACTAACTAGACAGAGGTTAATTAGTTAAGATTAGGATAAGTGAAGAGATGTTAAATCTTTCAGTGCACGTTTGATTTTTTTTTTCATAACAATAAGAATGTTTCACATTTTATCTAAACATGTAAATCTGAAACTGTTATGCATCATATAAACATAACAGTAATATTTTTTCAGTTCATGATAAAGAGATTTCTTGGATGACACTTGGTGATGAGTGTTGTGTTAAATGACTTTTTAGTGTTTTCTGAGGGAGTAAAGACTACATAAACTAATATTTTGTATTGAGTATAAAATATTTTAATGGTTGAAATCATGAGTCAATTAAAGCTAGACCACCATGGTGGCCCATGGTCTCCACAAAACCCCTCTCGATACTAATCAGCATATGCTCACTAGTGACTGGCTTCAAGAGATATTTCCTGGGGTTCTAGTGAGAAGTAGTGACCAGTGGAGTTCAACCAGGTCTGTTGTGAGATAGTGACTCATTGAAGACAATGGTGGATGTGTCGCTCTATTTCATGGATTATTTGAAGTTAGACATTAACATCGTTGGATGCCGGCTCAATGGTCTAGTGGTTAAGAGCTCGTGTGAGAGACTGATACGTCCTGAGTTCGAATCTCACGGGGCGGCATCATGGATGCGCAGTCCTGAGTAGTCCCACAATAGGACAAAACGGTTTTTTATGGTGGTCTAGCTTCAATTGGCTCATGATCATAACCACTGAAGTTACTATAATATCCACAAAACGCCTTCTGATATAAAATAATTCATGGTCAGATTACATTTTCTTTTATAATCGGAATTATTAAAATTCAACAGAAGTTATTGAGTGTTATTACATAAAGCCACATATATAAGTGAAACTATTCCATCTAAGCTGTTTAAATTCAATGGGCTTATTTTAGTACGTAGTTAGGGTGCCCGTATACAAGTGAAGCTCAACTGGCCTAATCAGCCGTTGTAATCAGTCGATACAAGATTTGTTTAACCATATTCTTGATGGTTTTTATTGACCATAAGGTACTGCTCTAAGTAATCTATTGAACTCAAACTGATCTCAGATTAAAATCATATAAATGTCATTTTTGTGAATTGTCTGATCAGTCAGTCGGAAGTGAGAAACCTGGCAGCAGAAGGCTAAGAAGTTCGAGTT